AAAACTTTGAAAAAACTAATCTGATTTAAAAATATTATGTTCATGTACTCTAGCATCATTTTAAGACTAACAATGCAATTTTAAGAGTTTTAAAAAATTAAAATAAATTTTTTATGTTATATTCTAAACATTTTGATGTAAATATTTTTTTAATTCAATACTCGTATGGTACACAGGTGTTGTCAAGTTTAATATTAATTAAGTGTAATCATATTTATTAATAATTCTATCATAAAAGTTATATAAGTTAAAATTATATTTTAAACCTTTTTCTGCTGATGTGAAGTGGATTGGGTCCTGCTGATGTTTTAGCAATGAAAAGAAGCTCGGTATACCATTAAGTATATTTTAGACTCAAGTAGAGAGTCTGTTTGTATTGGAGTTAATTTTATTACTTATATATATATTTTTGTCAATGTCATCCAATACTTAGGTCGATTTATATGACACGCAAGCAAAATTAGACTAAATAATATGAACATCCATAATGCTTTGAGTTCAATACAAAAAAATTATATGCCACGTAGATAATATACCTAGTCTAAAAAATTATGTTCTCCCATGCAAGTGTAAGTAGACTGGGTCCTGCTGCTGCTGGTGTGACAACAAGAAAAAGAGAGCCGGTCTACATAAGTCTATTTTAGATCTAACTAAGTCTATTATAGATTCAAATAGAGACTTTAATATCTTGTATTGAAGTGATTTTTTTTAATTTATATTTTTTTATTTATATCATCTAAGACTTAAGGGTGCATTATATATTTAAAAAAAAAACAAAAATATGTGGAAAAAAACAAAAAAACAAAAAAAGTTGTGGAAATGTATAAAACAGCCGGATTTTCATAATCCATTTTTTTAATTAAATTTTTAATTGAAAAACGGATTCTCACAATCCATTTTTACTTTTCATTTTTTTTTTAAGATAACGGTCGAATTTAATAATAATAATACATCCACTGACTAAAACGGATTTTTAAAATCCGTTTTTCATTTAAAAACGAGTAAAACGGATTTTGAAAATCCGTTTTTATGTTGATAAATATGATTCCATCCCAATTTCCTCTCCCATTTTCCTCTCCCATTTCATTTTCTCCTCTCGTTTTTTGCTCGATTTTATTGCGAATTGAAGCTGCAATTAAAAAAAAAAACAAATTTTCCCATTTCATTTCTCCTCTCGTTTTTTGCTCGATTTTTTGGCGAATTGAAGCTGTTCCCAGGAAAAAAACAAATTTTCAACCAATCGTCGAAGAAGAGGTTAGTTATTATTTTAATATAATGTAATATTAATTTTTGGTTGTTTAAGAGATATATTTGGTTAATTGAGTATTGTTTAGAAAATCTTGAATGTTGTTTAATATATGTTTATGAATTTGGTTAATTGAATATTTATCCAAATTGTTTATGAATTTGATGTTATTGTTGGATTATGGTGATTAGGGTTTTTGTTGTGGCAATGTACTAAATTAATTGACAATTTTAATTTTTTTTTGTTGGATTAAAAATATGATTAATTATATGATGTTGTTGGATATGTGTTTTAAATGTAGATTGGTAAAATAAT